TAAAAAAGCCTCTTCCCAAATCTACGAGTGCTTCTGGCTTGGACAATGGGTTAGTAGCAGTGGAGATGGAAGAGAGGGGATGGATTTGATAGACATTAGTGATAGAGTACTTCCTGATAGATAGGATGTAAGGTTGAGGAAAATAGGGAATCAAGAAAAAATTTAAGTTCTTTCTTTTGAGTGATTGGGTGGATGGAGTGCTATTTACCGAGAAGAGAAAACTGGGAAGAGCAGAAGTAGGTTAGAAAGTTAAAAGTATCATTTTTGATATATTTAGATTGAACTATCCTATTATGCATCCTTGTATGCTGTTGGAGATATTATTCTTAGATTCTAGTAAAGGTCAAGTCTAGATGTTAAGATTTACAATCTCATAAATGGTTTGTAAAGTTATAGTCATCTAATATGAGGTTGGAGAAAGGGAGTCCAGTAAGTCCTGAGCCCAGAAAGTAGAAACCATTGACGTGGGACAATCAGGTGAGCGTAATTTCAAAGAAAGTGTGTGCAAGAAGGAGGGGATGGTCAATTTAGGACAATAAAATATAGGATTTTTGTTGGGCAGAAAAGTGGGAGGAAAAGGAAAGATAAAGAGAAAAAGCTTTGCAATCAGAGGGACCAGAATGAAATAATAAGTTCCTATTCATGTGCCACCCAAACGGAGACACTAAATTGAGCTGCTAGCTATCAATTTTGGGGGAATGGAAAAAAATATAAAAAGATTTATTTCTCCTGAAATATCCTGTGTCTGGAGTAAAGGTTTTCAAAGCACGAAAATAACTCCTTCGGATTCCTAAGACAGCTCTTTTGCAAGCTGAGATAATCATTGACTTTCAGGAGTGTATCCAGCTTCCACAATGTATCTAATTTACTCTCAATAGATCCCACTGGGTGGTACAAGTTCAACTATTTCTCATCTGAGAACACTTCGGATCATTCTGTTTCAAAGATAATTGCCAATGACTTGAAAACCAAATAGCTACAGCAAATTCTATCTTCACTGCGAAGTGAAAATGTAGAAAACAACCTTTTATTTATCTTTGCAAAGAGATGTGGCACTATTATTTTCTCAATGGCAATGCGATGAGCTAACTTTCACAGAAGAAATGAAAGTTTATCAAATCTATATCATGGAATATTTCAGCCCTAAACCCACCCAAGTGAATGTTTTCTCCTCTGAAAACTGACTTCTATTTGCTAAGTTCTTCTGAAGCTTACCGCTCTCAAATAGTTCATTGCTTTGCTTCCATACTGAGAATCTGACAAGAACTTGTCATAAGAATTCTGCTTGGCAGCTGCTTTTTTTCAGCTTATGGAACAAGAAAGGTTAGTGTGAATTCTGAGTCTCTGAATAATACCTTAACTGGAGGATATTCCTGCCATTTCTGGAACTATCTGCACCAAAAATCTTGACTTAACAAGACTGCAGGTCATTGGATCCCCTTCACTTTTTCAAACCTAAACCACTGATATATTTTCCCAATGAGATTTGGGATCAATTAATCGAACAATCTAAAATTTCTATTTTGGAGAAAACATTTGAATGCAAAAGCATTTCTACAAAGTTATTTCTCAGATTGATTTTAAAAATCAAATGTATTATGGAAAAGAATTAAACATTAAAATGGTGAAAGGCTGTTTTCCTTTGTGATTTCTGTTACCCAAATATGAACCCCTCTACTGAGCGTGTTTTATATTACCATGCATGCTTCTAAAAAATAAAAAATTTCATTTTATTGTTTTTTCAGAAAGATAAAATACCTTAATAAAAACATATTTTTTAAAGGCAACGAATGTACATGATTCCCTATCTTATGGATAAACATACATGATAAATAAAATCATTCTGGTATTTTCAATCCATTTTTTTTTTCTCTATTTCCCTGTTATATTGATGCTGCCAATAATGGCAGAACTGAGTTTCGATGGAATTATGTCCTAAATAACCGTAAGTAAAAAGCATTTCTATAGTACAATAATTTATCTGTAAGTGATATGATGCCATTCACTATGTGTTTTGAGGACCAATGCCACAAATAAAGCACTTCTTATACATTGAGGTCTATTTAATACTTGTTCTTTCATTTATGCCTACCTATATCCCAACTTTCCATTCACTGAAAAATAACCCTCCTTGCTCTCCACCAACACCCTCTCCTCTCCCCATCACTCAGATACTGGAATGACAAAACCCAAATACTTTTACATAGAATGGAAATGGTCCCAGATTGGGTGGGAGTCAAGAGAATGGATTCTAGCTCAGCTCTGCCCCTGGAGTTCTGTGTAACCCTCAGTAAATCACTTCACCTTTTTGACAGTTTCTCCATTTTAAAGAAGTAGAAATCAAAATGAAATATAATTGTCATCTGCCACATTGCAAGGATTTAAGTGTTTGATAACATGCAGTGTTGGAGACCATGTGTAGAATTTCTTTCATTTCTTAGCAATCTGTGTGAAGTCATGCACAAATTTTGTTATATCTATCCCTAATTATTTCATGTTTTTAAATACTATTGTAAATGGTAGCTTTTAAATTTCAACTTCCACTTAACTATGTTACTGGCATGTAGAAATAAAATTGAATTTTGTATATTGACCTTGTACCTTACCAAACTCATTAATTCTAGTAGTTTATCTGTTCTTCAGGATTTTCCACATTGATCATGTCTTCCACAAAGTTTTCTTAACAATATGTATGCTTTTTCTTGCCTTATTTCACAGGTTGGATCTTCAGTTAAGTGAATAGAAATGGTGACTGCAAATTTCCTTTGTCTTTCTCCAAATCTTAGGAGACAAAGCATTATATACGATGTTAGATGTAGGTTTTTCAGATATTCTTTATCAGGTCAAGGAAGTTCCCTTCTAATTCTAGTTTGTTTGTTTGTTTGTTTGTTTTATCATGAATGAATAATGAATTTTATTGTGCACATTTTCTGCATCTACTGAGATGACCATGTTCCCCCACCCCACCCCTGACTTGCTGTGTTTTGTTTGGTGAGTTACAGTGATTTTTAGAATTCTGGTAATTGTTTTTAAAAAATTTCAAATTGTAGTAACATACATAAAATTTACCATTTTAATCATGCTTTAGTGTACAGTTCAGTATAGTCATTGCTGTGTAACCAGCTCCATTTTTTCATCTTGCAAAATTGAGACTATACCCATTAAATAATTCTCCATTTTCCCCTCCCCCTTTTAATTCATTTTTTATTTTACAAAAATTTCAGTCTGTGACCAATTGAATGTAAGTGTTCCTTAACCTCAGAAAGTTGTAAAAGCAGTGTTCTAAATCAGTTGGTTTACGAGTGGTAAAAAGCATTTTAACACATGCTTGGATTGCAAATTAAAGTTTAAAGTCACACACGAAAAAAATTAGTGTCTTGGGAGAACAAATATATCTCACTAGTTTCCTAACTGATGGTTTTCATCACTTCAGACAAGGTAAAATTAGATTGTGTGTTTTTTAAAGAAATTTATTTCATGCAAACCATAACTTCTTTAAGTACTAGCACTTGACCATAAACAAAAGTGCAAGTCACATTTGGTCCTGTCCCCTTGGATTCCTACTCTGGTCCTGGCTGAAGCTTCCTGTTGTTAAAAATCAAATATATTTTTTTGAATTACAACACAGTAATTTTTTTAATTAAAAAAAGGCTTTACTAAGAATTTCTAGTTGAACAATCATAGATAGATTCACCTTTTGACAAGTACTCAGTCTTAGCATTTCTTGTTATTATTCTAAAATGGTTCAGCTTTGTGGATGGGATTTATTTTCTCAAAAAAGAATGAACTCTACCATCCAATTTTAGTTCATGGAATCTGTTCATCACAAATTGATAGTTTTAAAGTATATGTGAATGACATATACATCAGATGTGAACTGTCATATTTTCATCCAACCGAATATCCCTAGAATTTGACACTGTTTATAGGAATAAAACTTCTTAACAACAGAGAAATATACTGTATAATAGTTTTATTTTTCTCATTTTACTATTTTTACATTTTATGCACAAATATTTTTATCTGAGTAAAAATAGAAAATAACTGTTTTATGTAAAATTACAAAAAAATAAAAACCACAAAGAAATACATAATTGTTATCATGACAGTAGAAGTGTCTGTATTTAAAGAGTAAAAATGTATGCAAAAATCCTCCTCCCTTTTACAAAAGACTGAGAATATTTTTTTTTCTGGCAGCAAGTGAAATATCACTGAAATATCAATATTTTTACACCCTCTAAGATATGAAGACATTAAGTTAGTCATAGGTTGTTTTGCAATTATTTCAAAAACATTTTTGTGCTATATCAAAGATATACTAGTTATTTTTAAAAGGCAGTAGAATAAAATAAAATAGAGACCTCATCAAAAATATTTGGAGGTATAATCCTTTAAAGAAATATCATAGTTGAGTTTTACCATTAATCAGGGGAGAAAAACAAGTAAACAATTTTTCCTCATTAACTGACAACAGAATGATTCAAAAAAAAAGTGATGAGTTAATTCATAAGATCAACCACACACAGCAATCCTGCCTAATTTGTTTGATTTTCTGATGCTGACACAAAGTTCCAAACTTCAGGACAGCAAAATACCCATGAAAGTTGGCTCAATGAGATATTCATGTGGAAAACAAGTTTTAAAATAAAAGTTAACATTTCATTATTCTTGTACTTAAAAGGTACAAAAAAAAAATGACGAATAATTTTGTCTTTCTTCCTTTGAATATACTGTAAATTCTCCTATGGAAAATTCATTCATAAAAACATAGCAAAGAATGAATAGCATGAATACTTTCTTCCATAAGCTACTATTTAATAAAAGAGAAGACTATCTGACTTTTTGATAACTGTAACCTCAATAAGGGCAATGGAATAGTTTATAAGTAAGTTGAGAAAAGTAATGGAAGTTTTTAAATCAGTTGGGGAAATTAGTCTCCTTACTTTACGCATGCTGTGGTGCATAAAATGGTGAGAGGCGAAGAAGAAAAAAGACAAGCATCTTATCATGTATGAGAACTATCTCTGTTCAAATTATAATAAGAAATAAAAACTGCCAAAGAAAATGGAATGTTCTATTTTAAAGCATCTGAAGAATGCTTAAAAGAAAAAAAAAAAATTTTGATTTTAGGGATCTATAAGAAATGTGGGTGTTCCTTACCTTAAAAAAATATGTACCTATAATTGAGACATACAGGCAGTCTGCCACCTTGGCCAAAACTTTAACATAATATCTCCCCAAAAGCATTTTAAATGTAAAAGTCAAGAATTTTAAGCTCTTGATAATATACCACAATAGTATACTTTTTTATTTCTTAAAACTGTAAGTTACTTGTCAACTCCCCAGGCCATAAGCAGATAGTGCAAAACCTTTTTAGCTGTTTTCTGAAACTAGAGCTCCTGGATATTATTTCATATTGCTGTTCTACTCAGATATTCTCGCAATCACTGTGCCCAAGTTATACTAATAATTTTTCAGTCTATTTTGTATGTGTTTATAAAAAGGTAAAAATGGAAGTTAGGAATTTTATTCTTTTTTATGTATCTACTGCAGGGTCTTAAAGGCCTTAATACACCGATATAAATGAACCAACATTACACTTTGTAGATCTATAGCACAGCACTTAAAATTATGATTTGAGGTTATCAGAAGAGATCACAGATCCCTCTTCTCCTCATTGCTTAGAGCCCCGCCTTCTATGGTTCATTCCAAACCAGGAGTGCTGACAGCAGCAACTGTTAACAATGCTGTCTTGTCTGTATCCTGATGGCCCTTGCCTCCTAGTTGGTAAAAAGCATTAACTCTCTTATAAAGCTGTTTAGAGGGATGAATTTAAAGAAAATGATGAAGGAGAAGGTGCCTAAAGTAATATTTGAGAATCAATCTTCTGCTATAAGAGGATTAGAAGCTATTTGCCGGTATCTCATATCATGATTTGTACATAAACCTTAACACAAACAACAAAACAAGAGAGAAAGCAAGAAGAGCAAGTGAGCAAGCAAGGGAAAAAAGACATTTCTAACCATTTCTGTTTAGTGTTAGCTTGTAGTAAGTAGAGTTTTACATATATAAGAATTAATTTTTTCAGAACTTTTAAAATGAGTTACCACCTTTTGAAATATCCTTCCTTTTCAATATTATTATGTCTTCATATATGTATGTGTATATATAGGAAATAGTCAAATGGACATGTATATAGATATTTGTATATTCATACACATAAATATTCAGAAGGAAAAAAAATAAATGGAAAATTTTGTTTTAAGAGAAGACTGCCTGTACTAGAGGTCAAAATTTCCTTTTTAAACTATTTGTAAGTAATTTATTAATGTCTTAAAAGGTATAAAGTACTGCTGACTGATTTAAAGTCTTCATTTCATCAGAAACACAACGACTATATAAGGGGCTTTGCATAATAAACCAGCATTATAAGGTAATTAAAAAAAAAGAAAAGGGAAGCCAAACCAAACCAAACCAATTTTCTTGCTGAGGTATACCTTTACAGTTTTTTAAATCTCTGACAGGAAAAACAGAGATCATTTCAGAATTTTTGTAATAGTTGGTTTATTAGAATTAAATGCCTCTCTTAAAATAATTTAAATTCTTGGCCTGACACTATGAATAATCTATACAGAAAATCCTTATAATTGGCTCGAGTTAAGCCAGGTTTAAACCTGGATCTCCTTCTTCAGCACTGCTCTTCTGCCAGTCGACTTCTTATGTCCTTTCCTTGCAGATATATAAATTACTTTAATAACTTGATACTCTTGTTTAGTAATTTATTAATATTATAATTTTATTTGACTATTTTAGCTCTGCTTGATTAGATGAAACAGGCACACATGCTTTAGCTGTAAAAATTCGATTTTCTGATTCTATGTAAAGCAACATCTAAAGCAGCAGAGAGGGGAAACAGTTACATTTTCAAAAATAGGTAAGCCAGACTGTTCCCTGGAGATACTTCATTCACTTTTTATCCTCAGTTGCTACTGGCTATTTTTGGTAGGGCTAGACATTAATACTGACCAGTTTAGCTTTCCTGACTGTTAACGAACTATCCCACAATGAGCCTGCCTTTGCACTGAAGCTATTGTGGTGATCCTTTAACATACACATATTCTAAAATATATGCTCAAAGTAAAAAGATCCAAATTCACAAGAGTATGAAATATTTATAAAAAAAATCATGCATCAGATTGTACAGTCTAGAAATAAAAGGAGATTCAAATTCAGTAATAAAGATAAGAGCAATATTTGCTCTAATATTTAAGAAAGACCTGGAACTCCCAGAGGGTCCTGGGCTCAATTATCCTTTTCTGTTTGCAGAGAAGCTGTAGCCAGGGCTACTGCTGTGACTGGCTGGGCAATACCATGGAGCTGCATCTTTGCAAGTTTCTTCTGTTCACATTCTGTGACCAAACGGTTCAACTCTGCTGCACTGTATCCAATAAGAGTCTTCAAGTCACAGACAAACTTGTACACAAATCTCTTGCCTTGAACTTTGCAAATCATGTCCCCATCATAATAATACCTTTAAAAAGAGAAAAATACATCAGTACTATATTATTGGCCTGATACTATGAATAATCTATAAAGTATTATATTACAATATTTCACATGCTCTTCCATAAGCAGAAGCCTACTAGAGTACTGTACTATTATAACAGCAATTAACAATGAAGTTATATAGAAATATTTGATGTTATTATCCATGGAAATTTTAAAACATTATTTACTAAAATTTTAATGCTCAGTACTTTAAAACTTTATATACTAACTTTTCTAAGCATATTTCCACAATTAGGATAAAACACTGATTTAAAAATAAATATTATTAAAACAAAACAAAAAACTTTAGGAGCAGTAATAGAACCTAAGAACAAGGGCTCAGGAGTCAGAATGCTGAGATTTGAAATCCAGCATCTTTATTAATTACTTTTGTGACCACAAGAAAGCCACATTTTCTCTTAAGTTTTCATTCCTCAACTATAAAATGAGGTTAAAAACAGTACTTACCCTCAAAGAACTATTGAGTATTAAAAAATTATCTTTGCAAAGTGCTTAGCACACAATGTCTGGCACATAGCCCTCTATAAAATATAAGCTTGTTAATAATTAAGAACTCATATAGCATGAACAAATTTTTAATATACATATTCTATGGACTGCTAGAATGTCCACTTCTTTTCTGTTTTGTACAAAATCCTGTATTATGTAGCCATGCCTTCACTTTTATAAGTTAACATGAAAAGCTTTCCTTTCAGAAAAATTCTCCAAACCCAATAGGGAGCCTCAAAAGTCTGTAAAAGAGCTAGAAGAAAGAGACATACAGGAGCATAAGGAAAGAGGACATTGTAAAGTCCTACACAGGTTCCATCTGGGGAAATCACTCTAGCAGTCTAGTTTACTGCTGCTTTCTACGGAGATGGAAGTAGAGCAGGACTTATATTTACTCGGGAAAAGCACTTTATTTACCACTATGCACTGCCAACCCCAGTAATAGGGGAAAAGAGATAAGTAAAGACTTTTCTGGGCTGGCAGACTATGAAGCCTTTATTTTAAAATTACAGTGCCCATTTGCACCTATCTGACAAAAAGCTGTTAAAAGAAGGAACAATTATTTGTAAAAGCACCAGTGGTGTAAACTACCACATTTAACAGAATTTTATTATAAAAGCCACTCAGTTTAATCGAGTCTGTTACTGAAATGAGTGACCTGTACGCAGGAAATTATGCCATCTCTCCCTAGCTGTAGAACAGCAAAAGCATAATAGTTATGTGCACTTTTCCAGTAAGAGATGCCATGCATTGGCCCAAATTTTTCCTTTTGTGCCAATTATATTAATATAGGATTTAGATCTCAGCCCACAAACCACCAACTGCTTGTCATCCAGTTTAAAATGCTACTGGCATTTCAATTTCTTAAGAAAATTTCTTCATAATGTGTAAGGCTGTAACAAACAGACAAATGAGAAAAAAGGAGAATGAAAAAGGAAAGTGGTTATATTTTGAGGAGGAAAATGAAGTTGGTATAATCTTATGTTTCTTGGTAAGAGGTGATAAAAAACATATACATTAAGTTTTAAATTTACTTAATACTGCCTTTAATCTTAAATCATACAACCACATATAAAAGGATTCACTGCATTTGATCCCTCTTTAAAATGAAGTAGAAAGGAACATGATAGCTGTATTTTCATGGATATGACCTCTTTCCTTCCTTCTTTTTTTTTGAAACTTGTATATTTTTTAACTTTTTAAATTGTGAAATATATTACAAAAACAAAAGACACAAAAGTGAACAGCTCTGATTTTTACAAAGTGAACAATGAATGACCTGTTAACTATGACTCAGGTCAGGAAACAGAACCCTGCCAGAACCCCGGAACCCTCTCCATGGCTCCTCCCAATCATCACCCCTCACTGCCCTAAAAGGTAAACACAAATCTGTTTTATGATAGTGATTTCATTGCTCCTTTTTATATTATTATCCAAACATGCATCCTGAATGCTATAATTTAGTTTTCCTGTTTTTCGAACTTTACTATATAAATGCATTCATATACTATACACTACTCTTTGGGTCTGGATTCTTTCACCAAGCATTAGCACATTTTCATAGATACAGAGTATATTCTCTGGCATACCATAATTTACTTAATCAGTCTACTGTTGATATTTTGTGCATTCCGAAAGTTCGCATTATGCCACTTCACTTTCACAAAAGACCTATGTTAGTACCTACTTTCGCTAACCAAAAAACATCTGAAGAGTATTTTCGCTTTTACAAAAAAAAGGCAAGAAGCGAAAATAACATCCAGCGTCCGTTTTGCAGCGAGCCATTAGAGGCAGTATGTACTCCAAGCGGCGGTACCGCCCAGCTGTCCCCACTAAGGACTGCACTCGGCATGTCAGCATCACACCGCCATAGTTTTGAACTGCATCTCTATTT